AGAGGGAGAGTGAGAGAGAGGGAGGGTGAGAGAGAGAGAGAGAGTGACAGAGAGATAGAGAGAGAGAGAGAGAGAGAGAGAGAGAGAGAGAGAGAGAGAGAGAGAGAGAGAGAGAGAACAGCTAACCAAACACGATTTGTAAAGACAAAAGTTGTCTAGGACCCAGGTAACAAGGCAATAAATGTTCGCGATAATTCCACTCCTCGGGTCAACAAGTGCAGTGTGTACTGTCATTTAGAAAATAGGTAGTCGAGACATGTGTTAACAATGTTCCTGCACATGGGTGCGGTCTGTTTAGCTGCCACCCGCCAGCTTCCGATTGTAACAGATCTTTAAGAATTCAGTGATGGTTGGTGTAATGCAGGGGTTACCAGCCGGGGCTCCGCGGGGCTTTTCATCATGATAAACATTTGGTCCCGTTTGGGCACAAGCAGGACGGTGCGTCCAAGGTCGCTGCCGATCCAACACAACTTGTCTTGTAATGTATCACCGTATAGCTAGATCACCACCCAATCTTTGTTGGGAGTCTTTAGGACAATCTTGTACATGCTCCCCATTCTCAGATATCAGAAGCTTTGATGCCTGTTTTGTGTAGATGTGCTGTAAAATTACATAATCCTGTCAGATGTTTGTTCGTTCCTATAAAGCTTGTTGATGCTGTCAGACTCCGGTTTGTGGTCTCTGTCCTGCCCTCTCCACTCCTAATTGAAAGGCAGCTTTAGGGCTGTTTTATTTTCCTCGTAAATCTGTGGTGGATGAGGATAGATAGGTTTATTCTCAGCTCTTGCTCATGTGCTTTCTCATGTCATGGAATATCACAGGCACATGGTATTCCCTGCAGCATCCGTTCTGTTTTCTTTGAAAGAAAATCAATGTTAGTCCTAAAATCTGCAATCAATGTTTTCTGCTTGATAGTGTTGAGTTGAGTTGAGTCAAGATTTGACATCACAGCACTCGGGAAATTCCCATGCGTGCTTTTGTCCTCATCTTCAGCAGCCAGCGCAGAGTTTCAATACTGGTAACGGTCACAACCTGCTTATATGTCCGTCTTGCCTATCCTCTGAATGTAGTGAGCCGGGCAGACCCTCTGGCTACACCCAGGTGCCTCATTCTCTCCAGGCCATAATAATTCTGTTTGATAGTTCTCTGAGAACCTATAGTGACTCACTGAGTGTAAAAATTGTGTGCTATCTGAATTCTTTAGTGCTGAGATGCTGGACTGCAGAAATAAGTGTCGTTGCCTCAGCTCGGTAGTTTATGCAAATATAGCCTGATAAGAGTCTTTTTAAACAAAGATTTTTAAAAAAATATTACGACATAGTTTATATTCCTACAAGATTTAACTGGACTGTTGGGCAGCTGGGACGCGACTCTTGTGTCGCAAGGGTGTCAAACCTTTAGGTAAATAGCACGAAAGAGGAAAACAGCCAGTTTCATGGCATCTAGATTCCTTCAATTGACATTCAAAGCCCACCGTCTTCTTGGTATAATGCGATAGGGGTCTTCCTTGTGTCATCTGGTATGATAATAATGATCTTCTTCTTCTTCTTCTTCTTCTTCTTCTTCTTCTTCTTCTTCTTCTTCTTCTTCTTCTTCTTCTTCTTCTTCTTCTTTTCTTCTTCTTCTTCTTCTTCTTCTTCTTCTTCTTCTTCTTCTTCTTCTTCTTCTTCTTCTTCTGCTTCTTCTTCTTCTTCTTCTTCTTCTTCTTCTTCTTCTTCTTCTTCTTCTTCTTCTTCTTCTTCTTCTTCTTCTTCTTCTTTTTTCTTCTTCTCCTCCTCCTCCTCCGCCTCGTCCTCCTCCTCCTTCTCCTTATTCTTTTTCTTCTGCTTTTTCTTCTTCTCCTGCGTCTTCTTCTCCTCCTCCTTCTTGTTCTTGTTGTTGTTGTTGCTGTTGTTGTTGTTGTTGTTGTTGTTGTTGTTGTTGTTGTTCTTCTTCTTCTTCTTCTTCTTCTTCTTCTTCTTCTTCTTCTTCTTCTTCTTCTTCTTCTTCTGCTTCTTCTGCTTTTTCAGTTTCTGCGTCTGCTTCTTTTTCTGCTTCTTCTGCTTCTTCTTATTATTATTATTATTAGTTATTATTATTATTATTATTCGTATAATTATTTCTTCTTCGTTTATTCCCCAAAAATAAGCCCATCCATCCTCCCTCCTCCCCGCAAAATGAAACCAAAAAGCCCACCAGTGTAAATGTATGACTGATAATCATGTTTTCCCCGAAAATCAGAATTAAGTTATGTTGTATGGCAGGATTCCAGTTGAATATTTCTGTTTGCACCTCTTTGCACTTTTCTTCTCGTCTACAGCAAACTGCAGAATATGCGCATTTATTACGCATCTTTGTTGTTTTATTGGGAATATTTCCAAATGACCGAATATTTGTGCCAAAAGTTGCGTTGGTCTGGTAAACATCTAGTACTGCCACCTTTCTTCTTCTTCTGCTTCTGCTTCTTTTTTTTTTTTTTCTTCTTCTTGTTCTTCTTGTTCTTGTTCTTCTTGTTCTTCTTCTTCTTCTTCTTCTTCTTTTTCTTCTTCTTCTTCTTCTTCTTCTTCTTCTTCTTCTTCTTCTTCTTCTTCTTCTTCTTCTTCTTCTTCTTCTTCTTCTTCTTCTTCTTCTTCTTCTTCTTTTTCTTCTTCTTCTTCTTTTTCTTCTTCTTCTTCTTCTTCTTTTTCTTCTTCTTCTTCTTCTTCTTTTTCTGTTTCTTCTTTTTCTGTTTCTTGTTTTTCTTCTTCTTCTTCTTCTTCTTCTTCTTCTTCTTCTTCTTCTTCTTCTTCTTCTTCTTCTTCTTCTTCTTCTTCTTCTTCTTCTTCTTCTTCTTCTTCTTCTTCTTCTTCTTCTTCTTCTTCTTCTTCTTCTGCTTTTTCTTCTTCTTGTTCAGCATTCCGAGCAAATGATGTTGACTGGCGCAGAAATAACCCCTCTTCTTCTACCTTCTATCATCAGTTGAAACAAAGAACCTCCACTAGCTCACACTAAATCGTTCGACCCTTGCTATTGCATGCAGCTCACCTCCTCCCCGTCTTTTAAACTCCATTTCTAGCTCTCTTTTTGTTAATGGGAGGGGGAGGGGTGGGTGGGTCTATGTCCCTGTGGGTTCCAGTGCAAATACATTCAAGTTATATTTTTCTTGCGTTTTCGCAACATGTGTCCTATCCAACGCCAGCGTCTTGTCTTCACCTCTTGGTCCACTGGAACTTGTTTAGTTCTCTCGCGAAGCTCTAATTAGTGATTCTACTAAACCATTTAATTCCCTCTATTATGCGCAGGGCCAGTTAATGAATGTTTGTAGTTTATTAGTAATTGCCTTAATTGTTTTCCATGTTTTCGCTTCATACAATTGAGTTAATTTGACATTAAAAGGAAACATTTTAAGTTTATAATTAGTTTTTAATTTCTTATCAAGATAACTAACATCTCCGTTCATCTCTCTGGTTGGCCTTCTCCTTCCAGTTAGTGACATCAAGTGTTTGTAAGTCTGTCTAGATTAGTTTTTCCCAAACTTGTCTTAGTCGCGGCGCCTTTTTTTTAAAATTAAAATGTTTCTACGGCGCCCTAACATGACTATGCGTACATAAAAGATTAAAAAAAAAAAAAAGCGGCGCACAGTATGGGAATCACTGGTCTAGATATTATTTCTCCATCGTCTTCTTGGTCTACCTCTTGGTCTACTACCATTCAACTCCTTTGTGTACGCAGTTTTATTTTTAACCTCTCTGTTATCTGACATTCTCTAGGTGTGCCTCGGCTATTTAAGTCTATTAGCTCTCATGATGCCAGTGATCAATGGTGATTTAAACAGATGATGAATTTCATTGCTGCATCTCACTCTCCATTCCCCGCTGTTTGCATTTTTTTTTTCTTCTCACAAATGTGTTTCACCACTACACTATACAAGAAACACGCTGGAAACATCTACAAATTTCACGGGCGTCCATGGCTAAGGCGTTGCGAGTCCGACTCGTAATCCAACGTACCGCGATCGAAACCCACTGCGGGCTGCGAGGATTTTTATCGTGGTATGGCTTGACATGGAATGAACCTTGGCTTGACTTGAAATGAACCTTGGTTTGCACCGGCTTCAACGTCTAGGGTTGACAACACTAACGCCACTCAGCTTCTTTTCTTTGTACATTCTGTCAGTTTATTCTGGTCCATTTATTTCACATGTTCAAACATTATTTACACTTCTATCACTAGCGCCACATATTCGAACACTAACCATTCGCGCGACATAAAGACGACATCTTCGACCAAATGCAACCGTCTTCCTCGACTTCTGTTGATCCTAGCTCGGGCTTTCCCTCGTGTACTCGACCAGCCAAAAAAAATCCGTCGGTAAAAACCGTTTTTTTGTTCTTTTGCCGTCCCTTGGTATCACGGACTTTCTGCTTGCCACAATGTAATCGTGGAGACCATGCAAAGCGGGGTCATCACAGGATGTCGCAGGTCGACCCAGCCTCAAATAGGTACCAGGATGGCTGTCCTGGGGAAGCAAAGACGGCCGGCGTAATGCGGACCACATTACCCACCGAGTGCCGACTGGTCTGTAAAAATATGGGTGCTCTTCCCATATGCCCGATGCGCCTAAAGGCGTGAAAAGGGATCTTTTACTCTTTACTTATACAAGAAACACGTTGGAAACATCTACAAATTTCACTATACATAAAATACACTAGAAGCATCTACAAATTTCACTACAAAACACAAAAAAGATACTGTAAACATACACAAATGTCACTACACCGTACAAAAAACATACTAGAAGCATCTACAAACTTTACACCATACAAGAAACATACTGGAAACATCTACAAACTTCACTACACCAGACAAGAAACACACCAGAAACATCTACAAACTTTACTGCCTCATACAAGAAACAATAGAAGCATCTACAAACTTCATTATCACTCCTAAATTTGATCAATGACTGGGCACAGGAAAAATCCAGCAAACTTGACAAGACAAAATGCAAACTAAAACAAATGCAGACTCTACAAACTTACTTAAAAAGTGATACGTTCTGCTCTACAAAAGGATCCTTTGATGAGTGGAACCTGTACGGATAGGCAGAGTCCTCTTGGGTCATCCCTTCTGGTGCAAACGATGAGGTATTCATGTGGTGCTTCTCCAAGACTCTTCTCTTGACTAACTCTAACCAGGACATTCCCGTCAGCCTCTCGGCAAGATGGCCGGCAACCGTGTACATGATGTTGCTATAGTGATTAGAGTGGAGAAAATCTGCGTGGTCGGGGAGAAATCTTAGACGCCTGAAATATAAAACAGGACAATTAATTCATTAATTAACTTATTCAAAGAAGATTTTGCATTAGTTTCCACGAAAATTTTAACTAAAATTAAAAAATAAAAATAAAAAAGATGTAAATACTTGCTTGCTTGTTGTATCCCACCAGGACATCACACAAGCGATAAACACCCGATGACACAAAGTGCCACTATGCGGATGAGGATCACCCTGTCGAGAGGTCTCAGAAACCTCCTTTTAGCAGTTATGACCACAAATGTGGGCCAGCTATATTCAGGGCCCCGGCAAAAGCTAGGGTGGGGCTTTCAAATAGCGGAAAATTGCATCCAACGATGGGAAGACTTAGTAGAAGATATAAATATATATTTTCAGACAGACATATGCTGTACCAGATTTCATTAGTAAGTTAAGGCTAAAAACATCGTATGTTAACGCACGGTGTTTCTTAATGCAAGGAGTCAGTAGCTTATCTGGCATTGTCTATTGGTGGAACAGAAACAGTTAACTAATGAAACAAAGGAGTTCATCTGGGAAGTGTCGTCCTAATAGAATTATGCGACATCGATAGGAGACAAAAATTTCTGGAATTATAACAGCTGGATTTCACACAATTATTTTGGGCTGAAAAGGGACCATACCAAATTAACGTGGCAGTCGTTTTTTTTCTAGGTCACCAGCGTGAAAGGGTTAACTGCTCACTCGACAATGGTATTAAAACCTAAATCACAGTTGTCATGAAGTAGTAAACGAAACGATATGCTCTCCGACTGTACTAAAAACCACACGCACACACACACACACACACGCTAGCACACACACCATGCTACAATGAAACTTCCGATCAACACATCTCTCGCAATAAATCTCTGGGTTAAATTACAATAAAAGAAAATTGCATTTGTCGGGGGAAAAGGAGGGGGGGGGGGAAATTTTGAGGCCCCTGCTGATCTTGAAGCCCTAAGCTGTCGATTTTTCAGCTTATACCTACACCCGGAACTGAACTTAGCTGAGATACGCTAGAGTATGTTTGTAGCAAGTGTGGTGTTCTCAGCTGTTTTCCTGTTCTCACAGAGCTATCTGTCTACAGTACGTTTCAAACATCGTGTCTATACACTTACACAAATTTCTCGAAAGCTCTCCTGTACGGATTAACACAAAATGTGCATGTGACCTTATATTTCCCATCTCCTTATGATTTTATTATTTGCAAATGCATATTTTTGATAGCATATCCAGCATACAATTGAAAAAATACGCAGATCATGGGGGACTGATACTATAGATCATCTACAAAGGTCTAAGAGTGAAAGACCTATGATGCCATGCAATTTAATCCCGTTACTCAATTAACTGTAAGTATACTATATGTTTGATTTGAATCGGCATCTGCTTTTTAGAATACTCTAAACAATGTAAAATGAAAACTAGATGTTTGTTTCATCATCATGTAGCAGGTCCTTTGCAGAACGTCGCTCTCATCACGATCTGCCTGAAAAAAAAACTCGGTCTCTCGCTAGCTCTCCCGCCTCATGTACTTTCATACTCAAGGAGTCACTTATATCCTGTGCCCATCTTCGTGTTGGTTGGCCCCTGCCCCTCCTTCCTGGTACCATGCCTTCTGCTATTACTTTTTTTTTCCCAATCCTCGTGGCGCTTGTATGACCAAAATATTTTAGCTTCCGAGGCAGGATACAGTTTATAGAAAAAAAAAAAAAAACGTCTTACGACGATATGATTAAAAACAGGCTGCATGCCAGATTTCAACGACTTACACAGTTACAAAATACACATTTTGAAATGGGCAAGGAGTTTTGGAAGTGACTATAGTTTAAGAACGCAGCTAATTCCAGACTGCTGGGTCTCCCATCTTCCCCAATGTCGAGCCCATGAGGCAGTGCATGTCAAAGTCTCGAGTCACTGAGGTCGTTGGAAGCCGTACGGTTGTCGAGTTAGATCTATACTTCTGATATTCATTCCTTCAGCTTCCCAAATGTGAGAACAGGTGAGAAACACCAGGTGCATAATGTAGGTTAGACTTCAGTGGTTCTCAGAATATTCAGTCTCTAAAAGACCACATTAAAAAAAAAATGAGAATCCTCTCGTATTAACAGTGTTTTGTTGATGAGCTTTCTCTCGTATTACTATGTACTGATAAACAACTGTTTATATTACCACGTATGTACTGATAAACAACTGTTTATATTACCACGTATGTACTGATAAACAACTGTTTATATTACCGTGTGTGTACTGAGGAACAACTGTTTATATTACCATGTGTGTACTGATAAACAACTGTTTATATTACCATGTGTGTACTGATGAACAACTGTTTATATTACCATGTGTGTGATGATGAACAACTGTTATATTACCATGTGTGTACTGATGAACAACTGTTTATTTTACCATGTGTGTGCTGATGAACAACTGTTTATATTACCATGTGTGTACTGATGAACAACTGTTTATATTACCATGTGTGTACTGATGAACAACTGTTTATATTACCATGTGTGTACTGATGAACAACTGTTTATATTACCATGTGTGTACTGATGAACAACTTGTTATATTACCATGTGTGTACTGATGAACAACTGTTTATATTACCATGTGTGTACTGATGAACAACTGTTTATATTATCATGTGTGTACTGATGAACAACTGTTTATATTACCATGTGTGTACTGATGAACAACTGTTATATTACCATGTGTGTACTGATGAACAACTGTTTATATTACCATGTGTGTGCTGATGAAAAAACTGTTTTATATTACCATGTGTGTACTGATGACAACTTTTTATATTACCATGTGTGTACTGATGAACAACTGGTTACTATTACCATGTGTGTAACGGATGACAACTGTTTAACTTACCATGTGTGTACTGATGAACAACTTGTTATATTACCATGTGTGTACTGATGAACAACTTGTTATATTACCATGTGTGTACTGATGAACAACTTGTTATATTACCATGTGTGTACTGATGAACAACTTGTGATATTACCATGTGTGTACTGATGAACAACTTGTTATATTACCATATGCGTTTTGAACAAAAACTTTTTTTATGTTACCATTTGTTTATTGATGAACAACTTTTTTTATATTACCATTTCTTTACCGATGAACAACTTTTTACATTACTATGTGTAATTCATGAGCAATTTTTTAACTTTCCCCTCTTGATAAAAATTCTCCCATTACACTTTTTTTTTTTTTTAATGAACATACTTTTGCACTAAACGTTAAGTACAACTAAAAGAGAACAAACTTTGGTTCAAACTTATGAGAGAATAATCTTACGACGAAACTTTAGACCCACCAAAGATACAAACAGAGAAGCGTGGACAGTGTGGTAACTGTTTCGATAGGTTTCGACAAGTTTTAGACAACAGATCAACATCACGACAATAGGGTGATCCTTTAAGTGCTCCGTTCTACTTCTGACTCAAGCCTGGGTCTGGGAATCCCAGCATAGTGCACGAACTCCGTAGCACCGGCAAGGATCCTGAAATACTTTCGGTAGATAGTGCCGGGGCAGGGTCTGAGGCTACACTTGTTGATTTCCAACTGCCAAGGGGCGACGTTCGTGGCTTAGGCGTTGCAAGTTCGACTCGTCTGTATGAGCCGATCGGTCTGTATGAGGTTTGAACAACGAATCATGGCACACGGGTAGTAAGTGTTCCGTTCTTCTCTTAACTCAAGTCTGAGTCTAAAGAATTCCTACAGGCTCTGTAGCACCGGCGAGGATCCTGAAATACTTTGGGAGGATTTTTAACTCAAAATTTTGCCCGGGCAACGCCGTTAGGCTACTCTTTTCGATTTCCAACTGCCAAGAGATTTTTTACGTGAGCAGCAATACACACGGGCTTCCGATCTCACTACCCATAGACCAGGGAGAATTACTAGAAGTCCAAGTCCACGTGAAAAAATCCCAGCACCTACCTAGGATTGAACTCGGCACCTTTAGCGACGTAGTCGTAGTAGTAGTAGGAGTAGTAGTAGTAGTAGCAGTAGTAGTAAACGTAGAAGTAGAAGAAGAAGAAGAAGAAGAAGAAGAAGAGTCAAAATACGTCAGTAAATAATCAAGCCAACCAACATGCCAAGTAACTATCCATGGAGCAACCACATAAACAACAGAAAACAGAGGTACAAAGAGAAATATATATATATATATATGTAAATTCTCGCTTCTGCACTGCTTACAAATCCCTGTAAATCTCGGGTTGTCTTTGAACCATCTTGCCAAAGTCGTCGCACCGTTCCGTGGCAGCATTATGAAGTACAGCAGCGTTTAGCAACAACTGGTCCCTACCTGTCGCCAAGATTAAAATCTTAAGGTTCCGACAGATAACAGTTATCATTCCTAGACCTTGTTATCTCGCCTGGCGTCTGCCAATCTTTGCATCGTTTTTCATAACGGCTTTTGTTTTTCTTTTGTCCTCTTCGGCAGTGTGCTCACCTTCTGTTTACCATATGCCAGACGCTGTTATGTACACGAAAAGGTCAGAGACGCTACAGGTGTCTGGTAAATGTTATCATTTCAGGTAGCAGAGATAGGTGTGGCGTGTAAATATTGATTACGCGTAGTTGATGACACATACATCGGTCATCATTTTTCTTTCGAACCATATCCTGTAACCCTCCTACACACCTTTAATAGACAGTTATTCCAGGCCGCTACTACTTACACTAGTCATCTCCTTCTGGATCCTATTTATGACTGGCATCTCTGGATCTTTCTAGAATTATTCCGCCAAATTTTGTCTCCATAGGACCGGACAGTAACATAATTACCACCGACATAAAGGTTTAAGTGTAAAGTATGTCTGTCTAGTTTTTATTTACTCATTGAATCAGAACACAGTTCGTAAACCACTCAGCTTTTGGGGAATTCTGTCTGTCTATCTGTCTGTCTGTCTGTCTGTCTGTCTGTCGGTCGGTCGGTCGGTCGGTCGGTCGGTCTGTCTGTCTGTCTGTCTGTCTGTCTGTCTGTCTGTCGGGTCTGTCTGTCTCTCGGTCGGTCTCTCGGTCGTTGGTCTGTCTCTCTCTCTCTCTCTCTCTCTCTCTCTCTCTCTCTCTCTCTCTCTCTCTCTCTCTCTCTCTCTCCGTTTCTGATGACTGTAACGTCAGATAAGTACACCTTTCTGCCTTATATCCCCAATGAAGTAGAGACCCGCAACCAACTCAGGCCAAGTGGCCCTTTCCTTCGCTCCTGCATGCAGCTCTCCCCCATGTCCTCCTCTCCCATCTTTTTAACTCCACTCTCTAGCTGATTTATCGCCATTTTTTTTTGGGGGGGGGGGGGGGGGGTGGGATGGGGTCTACCTTTATTTCTATACCCCTTTGGGTTCCAGTGTGAAGATATTACATTTATATTACTCTCAGTTTTTCTCAACTAGTGTCCTATCCAACGACAGCGTCTTTTCCCCCCCCCCCCCCCCCTGGGGTCTACTGGAACTTATTTAGTTCTTTTCCAGAGCTCAACATAAGTGATTCTTTCGCACCGTTTAATTGCTTCTAGTAATGGTCGTTTCTAGTTTATTAGCAATGTTTTAGCTGTTCTCCATGTTTCCACTTCATACAGCAGTGCTTATGAGATAGTCGCAGAACCAACCCCAGCATTTTTTGGCTGTTGTGGTTTTTCTAGGCACATTTTACGTTCAGTAGTTTGCCGTTGCCACTGAACGGTCAGCTCTTGGTACCAATGTAGAAACCAAAGTAAGACAAACCGTCCGCAGCTAGGATCGAACCCCGTACCCCGGCATTACGAAGCGCGTTCGCAACGCTTAAGCCACAGACGCCGACTATAGAATAGTATAATAGTTCATAAGGAAAAGCATTAGGGTGCAGCGGAGTATCAAAGAAAAATTAGGGCATCCCCTTCCATCAGCTGGTTTATGAGACTTCACTGAACACGGCGGAGTACCTATTTAACCCCACCCATCCCCATCCGTAGGTAGTCTACTACTTCATTAAGTCCTTCTTAGGACATAACTTGTTGTTATTTGAAGCCCCACTCTGGCTTTTGCCTGGGGCCGCAATATAGGCAGGCCATAAATATGGCCTAAAGGCTGAACGCGGTTTCTGGGACCTCTCCACGGCGATCCTCATCCGCATGGTGGCACTTTGTGTCATCGGGTGTTTATCGCTTGTGTGATGTCCTAGTGGGGTAGAAAGTCAGTCAGTCAGTCATCCATAGGTAGTCATGTCTATGTATAGGTTTCTTTTTCTTTTTATGCCTGTCTAGGCCCCAGTGGAGCATAGGCCCTAACCAACTCACGCCAAGTCGTTCTATCTTTTGCTATCGCATACAGATCTCCCCATCTTTCTAAGTTCATTCTCCAGCCCCCATTCTCCGTGTGTTTTTTGGCTTTCCTTTATTCCTATGCCCCTCTGGGTTCCAGTTAAAAGACATTCTGGTTATACTGTTCTCCGGTTTTATAAGTGTGTGTACTATTAAACGCCAGCGTCTTTTCTTCACCTCTTGGTCCACTGGAGCTTGCTTAGTTCTCTCCCGAAGCTCGACATTAGATGTATAGGTTCCTGTCTCGTGTAATTTCAATCAGTTCTGACACAGATGAAGTCCCATAGTCAATGCCGCGTGATGTTAGTATAGTGCGTCTCAAAAATCGTGCCCTCACATTTTACAAATATCGCCCGGATCAACAGGATTTTTTTTTCATGCGGCCTTTGATTTCGTGTGACGCTTTGATTTTATAGTTTACAACTTTACAGGGGCTGCTTTTTTTTAAAGCAGATTATTTCCTTGTTCTTTGATCTTTGTTTGACTAATAATTTGTGTGCCTCTAAACATAGAATTTACAGTAATTACAGTAAAAGTCGCGTGGAAATTGTGTGGAATTCAGTTTATATGTGCAGCGATACATGGTGATTATCTTGATAGCCTATCCGATATACATGAGAAAAGCCGCCACTCACGCAAGTTAATGCTGGAGATTACCACATGAGAACGAAATGCCTATCAAAGCGTGTAATGTGATGGTTTGAGAAGTTCCGGTTACTCAGTTGGCTGTAAGCATGCTGACTGAATAATTTGAATCGGTGTCGGTTTTTTTCATATACCGCAAATACGGCAAATTGAAAACTATATGTTTGCATCCACAAAAACAACACAATCTCAACGGGATATGATTATTACCTGGTTAAATGTCAAATTTCAACAACTTACACAGCGCGGTTACTGGTTAGTTCAGTATCCTTTACAGGACGTTGCATAACCAACCCGAACAGCCCCTGGCTGTTGTGTAATTTTTTCTAGGCAAATTTACGTCCAGTAGTTTGCCATAGTACCATGAAGGAGGGGCAGGGGCCGACCGACACGAAGATGGGCACAAGATTTAAGTGACTCCTTGAGTATGAAAGTGTATGTGGCAGGAGAACTGGCATGAGACAGAGTTTATTTCAGGCAGACTGTGATGAGAGCGACGTTCTGCAAAGGACCTGCTACATGATGATGATGAGTTTGTCATTGCTTTCTGGACTGTCTGCTTTCTTGATACCGCTGTCGAAACCAACGCAAGGCGCATGGCCCGCAGCTGTGATCGAACCCGGCATTACGAAGCGTTCGCATCGGCTTAGCCACAGAGCCGACAACGGTTACTGAGTTACATATATTTTCAAGTTGGGCACAACTTCTGATACAGACTGTTGACATGTGTCCACAACGTTCTGTCTCGTGTACTTTCAAAAATTTCTGACACAGATTGTCTTCCATGGTGTCATGCAGTGTGGCGTTGGTAGTCATGTCCATCCCACAAGCTTCTGTTTCCTGTACTCCCAATAAGTTTTGAGACAGTTGACCTTCCATATTCCATGACTTGTGGCGTTGATAGTAAAATCAGTCCACAACTGTCTGTCTCGTATACTTTTAATCAGTTCTGACACAGATGATCTTCCATAGTTCATGCCGTGTGGCGTTGGTAGTCTAGTCTATCCGCAACCTTTTGTCTTGTATATCCTCTTCAGCATACGTTTTCTCTCATTGGCTAACTTTAACAATTGAAGTATAGTGGGTTATTATAGACACGCTGCCGGTCAACAAAAACAACCACAACAACAACAAGAGTTAAAATAATAATCTGGGTTTAAGTAAAAACTGGGTGAATACAAAATAAGACTTTTCCCCTGCTGTAACAGTTTTGGTAGAGTTGGCTGGAGTTGTAACTTTCTGTGACTCTTTTCCATACTCTCAGGCATTTTAGGCATATAGGGCTAGACCTATACTCTATAGACCAACCGGCACTTGGCGAGTAATGCGATCAGCATCATGCCGATCGTCTTTACTTCTCAGGACCTAAAACTTAAGCCTGGGTAACAGATACATTCAGGAATCGCTGTGGCGTTGGCGTCTAGAAGCCCGCCTGCGGAGCAGAAGGCCGTGGGTTCGCGTCCTAACGGAGCTGGATAAGTTTTTTTTTTTTTTTTAAATGACATTGACTCTCATATCGACCAAGTCTTGTGTGGGTACCAGGTGCAGTCCTAGGAAGTAAAGGCGGCTGGCGTGATGCTGACTACATCACCGACCAAGAGCCGATTGGTCTATAAAAATATAAGACTAGCCCTATATTCCCAAAAAAGACTAAAAGAGTAGAAAAGAAACCTTTACAGACAAATTTTACAAAACAGACAATCCCACGCAGCACTTACCGAACGATTTCCTCCATCGTCACCTCCTTGGGCAGCCCGACCATGGTTGCCAGATCTGCTGCACTGCTGCCTGACTTGTAGACCAACATATCCTTCAAGGTCGTGTCAGCCCAGGGCAGGGGCACCTCAAAGTCATGGCTATGTCTGAGAATCTCGCGCAGTGTGCTGTTCCAGGCGATTCTGAAAGACATTTGAAAACGGTTTTCACTTTCACAGCATTGCATTCAAATTTTCAATTGCATTGTAAAATTAATCATTCAGGTTTCAAAGTTGAGATTTAAATTCTATAACATTGATATGAAGATTTAAATTCCAATTTTCACCTTGTGTGTTCTGGGGCGTACTGAGATCCATCATAGACACAACTGCCCTTTAATAAATAAGCATGCAGTAAATTGCTTTCTGAAATTTAACATGCTGATACGAAAGCATAGATTTCGCATTCTTGCTGTAAACTACAAAGTAACGTGCCAAACATGTTTTTACAGGCGGGACAATGGGAGAGGAGAAGAGGAAAGGGGTGGTGCAGAAGAAGAAGAAGAAGAAGAAGAAGAAGAAGAAGAAGAAGAAGAAGAAGAAGAAGAAGAAGAAGAAGAAGAAGAAGAGAGAAGAAGAAGAAGAAGAAGAAGAAGAAGAAGAAGAGGAGGAGAAGAGGAAGGAGAGGAGGAGGAAGAAGAAGAAGAAGAAGAAGAAGAAGAAGAAGAAGAAAGAAGTAAGAAGAAAGAAGAAGAAGAAGAAGAAGATAAAAAGAAGAATAAGAAGAAGAGAAGAAGAAGAGAAGAAGAAGAAGAAGAAGAAGAAGAAGAGAAGAAGAAGAAAAGAAGAAGAAGAAGAAGAAGAAGAAGAAGAAGAAGAAGAAGAAGAGGAAGAAGAGAGCAGAGGAAGAAGAAGAAGAAGAAGAAGAAGAAGAAGAAGAAGAAGAAGAAGAAGAAGAAGAAGAAGAAGAAGAAGAAGAAGAAGAAGAAGAAGAAGAAGAAGAAGAAGAAAGAAGAAGAAGAAGAAGAAGAAGAGGAGAAGGAAGAAGAGAAGAAGAAGAAAAAGAATAATCTTTTATGTTTTATTTTACATTAATCTATGTCACTGTGTAGAAAGAAGAAACAAAAAAGTCTGGCAACATCTCCGGAACGAAATGACACAGAATAATGATCCACACATCATAATTCCACATAAGTCAGGTTGGTATTCAGGTGATGTTAACATTTCCGTTAGCTTATATCTGATAGGTTTTTAACTGCAATGTAGAAACAATCTAGCAGTTATGTTAGGAGAAAAACATATTTTTTTACCGCTGACTATCAAATTTGACTGACTTATTATTTGAAATCGTGCTGTGTAGCGTTTTCAATGCATCTTTAGAGCCGGCTATCTAGTGCAGTGTTTTTCATCTTGGGGGTGGAGCGCCCCGGGGGTTGGGGGTAAGGATGTTTCAGGGAGGTGTTTTTGTAACCGTAAAAATTAGGTTACACAAATTTTGTTTCCCCCAGGATTTCTTTGTGCCTTATCCACCATCAGACCAAAAATAGTAGATATCATCAAGACAATAGTATCAACCATCACATTGATATTTGGACATGAAGTTACCAGTTGTTTGGGATTATTACATTTATATTATTTGACGCCCGGCTCTCTAGCGAAGTTGGTTAAACCTGACTTTCGCGGCGGCCGGGTGACGAACTCCTTGTGGTCCGGGTTCACTCCCGGGGGTAGGCAGAAAAGCCACATTTCTCCCAGATTAACGGTACCTATAATGGAATCAATGCCGAAGGGTTGCGATATCCATAGTACCGAGCCAAAGGGTTTACAACTCATGGTTTCTGGATACGTATAAAAAAAAAAAAAAATATTATTTGACGCTTCGATTTATGTGGACTTTTCCCCCCTAAGTTCATGTCAATGGTGGGTTCTTTATTAATATAATACTCCCGGATGACGTCACAGTTCAACATTTTAGAGGGTGGTAAGACTAGGTTTCCCGGCTTTCTGATGCTTTTAACGACCCCACAACATCTAGAACTGGCCCTAACACCAACCCACCTACGTCCCACGAGAGAGTGCAGCCTAGGTCCCACGACTGTATGCAGCCTATCTACCACTCCCTGAAATTTTAGACTGTCCTGTGACCTGTGGGTTTCTCCTGTTTGGAGCAGGATATTAATAAAGCAGCCAAATTGTGCCTTGCATTTTAAATGCTATCCTCCTCTTTTTAATCACATTTTCAAGAGGGTTTGTTCGTGTGGAAAAGGGAGGGGGGGGGGGAATATGTTCAAGGAGGCACCAGGTGACAGGTGAAAACATTTTGGAAACCGCTGCTCTATTGTGAGGCAGATCTTATCTGATGTTGACATTCCTCTAAAGTTAAAAGTCTAGGTCGAGAGGGTCGACTTGACTAAGACGGGTTATTCCATGCAGCTCGGCAACTCTCCGCACAACGGGTAGCCACCTTCCTACAGCGTCGTACAAGGAATGAACTTCGTAGCTCAGCAGCGGCCCCTATAGATTTCTGTAAAAATTGCATAGGTGAACCAAATGACGCGTCCTTGAAACAAACCCATGATCTTCAGAACGTGAGGTAAACGCTTTGATGACTTCGCCACAGATATCCCATAGACATCGACTATACAACAGTGTTAAACTGTCTACAATATTCATGTTGTTATCATGAACTCATATTTCTTTTCCTTTTTACAACCTGCCAAGAATGTTGATCGTCTACATCTGATAGGAATAATCAAGTATTTTTTCTAACATCAGACAGGAATAAACAAGTCTCTTTTTTCACATCTGACCGGATAATCACGTCCCCTTTTCCACATCTGATAGGAATAGTCAAGTGTCTTTTTTTCTACATCTGATAGGAATAATCAAGTGTATTTTTTCTACATCTGATAGGAATAATCAAGTGTCTTTTTTCTACATCTGATAGGAATAATCACGTTTCTTTTTCCTACATCTGATAGGAATAATCAAGTGTGTTTTTTTCTACATCTGATTGGAATAATCAAGTTTTTTCCCCACATCCGATAGGAATAATTAAGTGTCTTTTTTTTCAACATCTGATAGGAATAATCGTCCCCCCCCCCCCCCACCTCCATCTGATAGGAATAATCCAGTGTCTTTTTTCTACATCTGATAGGAAAAATCAAATGTCTTTTTTTTTAAAAATCTGATAGGAATAATCAAGTCTCCTTTTCTACATCAGATAGGAATATTCAAGTCTATTTTTCTGCATCTGATAGGAATAAGCAAGTCTCTTTTTATACACCTGATAGGAATAATCAAGTCTCTTTTCCTACGTCTGATAGGAATAATCAAGTCTCTTTCTGAGGTAATCTTTTTCCGTTTTACAGTTATCTTGGTGATGTTTACAATATTTCTGTGGTGCTCTTGTCATGCTTTCTCCACACAGCCACATTTCTATGGGCATGAAGCATCTAGGACACAGCACCTGCAAGTTAAAGTTGCCATTCTAAGATCATGTATCTTTCCCATAGCCACTTGGGGATTTGAGTCTTTCAAGAAAAAGCAGAACTTTTGAAACAAATTGCTAGAGAAAAATTCTTACAATACAGCAGAGCAAGAAGAAGAGGTACAATGCCATCCTACATGATCTGAATATCGAGGAGATCTGGCGCATTAAACAGCATCCTGTCCCGATATTTGACGTATTTTTGCCACGTTAAGCATCATAGCGGCTTGAGGCAACGGTGACCGCAGTCGCATTTTCTAAAGATACAGAGGCCAACCACTGCGATTTTGGATAGAACACATTTACGATGCATTAGCTATGAAAGCACATAAGGCTGAAATATTGGCTAGATAAAGAAAGACTTTCATGCGTGGCATAAAGACAGCGACGTTTCGTAAAGGACCTGCTGACTGATGACAGTGCCATTTGCTTGTCACCTCTCTGATAGACATCAACAACGCGGCCACCCTCTCTTTAGCTACCCACTAGAAACAACACGACAAGGGAGGCTCCCTCGAGAAACGTCATCATCATCATCATCAATTCTCTTTATGCCTAGTGTCACATGAGGCTTTAGAGAGAAGTTTACATGCTTTCCTGTCCTGTGCAATCTTCAGTATCAGAGATTTAGTTCACTCTACATCGTTCGTCTCAATGTTGTTTCTCTTTCCTTGTGGTATCCATGTGAGAGCTGTTTTGGCAGGTATATCAGAAGTCATTCTCATAACGTGGCCAAGCCATTTCCATCTTCTCTTGGTTATCATTGGCTCTGTGGCTAAGTCGATGCAAAAGCTTCGTAATCCCGGAATGCTGGGTTCGATCCCAGCTGCGGGCCATGCGCCTTGCGTTGGTTTCGACAGTGGTATCAAGAAAGCTGACCGTCCAAAAAAGTAATGGCAAACTACTGGACGTAAATTTTCCCAGGGGCTGTTGTTGTTGGTTCTGCAACGTATTGTAAAGGATACGCAACTAACCTTGGTTATCATACTGTCCGAGTTTCTTGGTTTGTGACCTAAACTCAGGAAACGCACCAACAAAACTGCGAATCATTCTCTGTGGCTTAGGCGTTGCAAATGCGCTTCGTAACTCCAGGTTGCTGGGTTCGATCCCAGCTGCGTGCGATTTGGCAGCAGACCGCCTTGCCTCAATTTCAACAGTGGTAACGTTTTTTTCTGTTTTTTTTTTTCCAGTGAAACTACACACAGACAAAAATTGCTGTGGTTAGTTCTGAAACTGTTGAAGATCGCTGTTCCTTACTCACGCCGACATCGTTTCCAGTCTAACCTGATCTTTATTTACTTGATTCATGCGCGTTTTCACCTGGCGGGGGTGGCGCAGGTTGTTCGTTTGTCTAGCCTTTACCTTTCCCATGGCTGGCACACAACTCAAATTTCGCGCACTCTGGTGTCGGTATAGAGCAGTGGTTTTCAATCTAGCAAGGGCGATAGCCCTTTGAGGGGCGGGGGAGGAGAGAGAGAGAGAGAGATAGAGAGAGAGAGAGAGAGAGAGAGAGAGAGAGAGAGAGAGAGAGAGAGAGAGAGATAGATAGAGAGAGAGAGAGAGAGGAAGGGGGAGGGGCGTAAGGTATTTTGTTTTCACGAGGAGTGTGTACATCTACCGTTACAATTCTAATTACTGTAATATAATAACACAGTTCTCGGCTGACCGCGCTTAGGGTTTTCTTGTTGTGTTACAAGTTTTTAATAAATTTTCT